TGGCCTGGTTGGCCAAGCCTTCCCCTTTGTGCTGGCCAGGCTGGCTCCTGCCATGTTTGTTTGCCTGGCTGCCTCATTTAGGATTGGTCAGAGTCACGCCTGTGTCCCCGCTTCAGAGTGGGGTGAGACTTTTCCGGAGGACACAGCAGGGTCCTACTCCTGTAGACACTGTGATAATATCCTGACACATCCTTCTTTCAGGTGAAGCCCTGGGTGCTATTGGGAATCCTGATGTCCTGGATATACTGAAACGCTATTCAGAGGATCCCGTGGTTGAGGTGAGGCTCTTGAGAGGGGTCATTTCCCTTGGGGTATAGTGCTTCCCGTCCAGGAGGGTGAGGCAGGTCTCTCCTGGGCAGTCCCTGGCCGTGGACAGGGACACCATGAGTGGCATCCTGCTGTGTGCTGGTGCCCAGCTGCTGTTGGGAAGTCCTGGGCATACTTCCAGTGCCGTACGGCACCGTCCCACAATCAGGGCTGTGTGCCCATCCCCGCAGGTGGCAGAGACGTGTCAGCTGGCAGTGAGGAGGCTGGAGTGGCTGCAGAACAAGCAGGAGCCGGGTGCCAGCCCCTACCTCTCCGTGGATCCTGCTCCCCCTGCTGAGGAGACGGACATCGCCAAACTCCGTGAAACCCTCCTGGATGAGTCACGCACGCTGTTCGACCGCTACAGGGCCATGTTTGCCCTGCGAAACCTGGGGGGTCAGGCTGCTGTGCTGGCGCTGGCAGACGGTAAGAGCCAGGGTGAGGCTGCCTGTAGCCTCCTCACTGTAAGTCTGTACAGGTTAATCCAGGATTAGCCATTCCCAAATCCAGGGCTGCCAGAGCTGCGAGGCTTCTCTTAGGCTCTTCAGGCGTTTGTTTCTAGAACTGCTGTCCCCCTGCTTGCTTGCAAGAGCCACGTTGCAAAGCACTCATTGCACTCCGGTGTTTAACAGCCCCCTTGCCGTCCTCCAGGCTCCCCTTTTTCCATGGGACCAACCAGTCTGACCTGGTGTCTCCTGGTGGGACCGGGCCCCAGGGTGTTGGGGTCTTGGTCTCCTGTACTGGGGAGTCAGAGGCTGCCAGCCTTATTCTGGGGTTTGGGAATAGCTCTGGAGAGAGGATTGAATGGCTCCTGAGTGGGGAAGGGGAAGGCCACAGCCCCGGAACCATTTGGACCCACCTCTCAGCCCAAGGGAAGCGGATGAGGCTCTCCAGCCATCTGGGATGCTCCCCGAGGGCATATCTGCACCATGAGACGAGGCGTGCAGGGATCTGTGAGCTCCTGCTACGACTGTTCAGTCCGGCAGCACAGGAGGGCTTGAGGCTGTGTCTGTGCTGCCAGTCCACCCCAGGCACATCGAGCTGGTGGGGCAGGGCCTGTGGGCAGTGCAGACTCCCTGGGGCAGGTGAGGGTGCTGGCAGCGTGGGTGCCACCATCATGAGAGGATGTCCTTAACCCTCCACGGCACGGCTGTGGGCCTGTGGTGCTGGGGCTGCCCTGGCTGTGTGGGGTCAGGGAGCAGGGTAGAACAGCCCCTACTGTAGGTATTTTGTCCCCTTCCCCAAAAGCCCCCACAGGTCTGGGGTAGCCACCACCAGCTCTAACCCCCAGGCCAGCCTGCGCCATGGCTTCCCCTGGCTTTTGAGTGGGGGGCTCTGGCCAAGCATCCCAGTGAACTTTGGGGGCAGTGGCAGCTCACTCTCACCTCCTCCCTGCAGGATTGCACTCCGGCAGTGCCCTCTTCCGCCAC